ATTATTATTATTATTATTATTATTATTATTATTATTATTATTATTATTATTATATTTATTATCATTATTATTATTATTTTCAGGCGTCGAATGCAAAGTATAAATGAAGCATTTGAAAGTTTACGTCAGCATATTCCTACACTACCTTACGAGAAGAGATTAAGTAAAGTTGATACCTTAAGATTAACAATTGGGTGAGTACTTAAGTAAATTAAGTAATTTGAGTAATGTTGATACCTTAAGATTAACAATTGGATGAGTAAGTAAGTAAATTAAGTAATTTGAGTAATATTGATACTTTAAGAAAAACAATTGGTTGAGTAATTAAGTAATTTAAGCAGGGGTGTAATCAGGAAATTTGTCCAGGGGGGGGCTTAAATTTATTTTTCTTTCCAGGGGGGGGGGGCTAAGCACCCGTTGGGGATATACTGAACTGATCATCAGTTCAATTTATTATTTATATTTCAACAAAAGGAAATATAAAAATATTGAAAAGTCGAAGAAAAGACATCTGGGCCTGTGAATGACATTTGTTCCAACAATATGATTTCATTAAAAAATCATGACAATTTAATTTTTTTCTTCTTATACATGACATCAGGGTTGATATCCCCCATATAGAGTACAATTATTACAATTATTACAATAACTAAGTAAATAATTGTTAACCCATTTTTTCTGAATTTTGATAAATAATTTGTTGTTTATTTTTAAAGAAAACTAAATATCACCCAGAAACAATAAAAATAATTTAAGAAGTTTTTTTTGACACCTCTGCATGGAAAACAAATAGTAATATGCGTAATATTAGGGAGAAAGAAAATCAGTAATATGTGTTAAAATGCATTTTTCCCTTGTTTACAAGGGATTAGAATGCGTAGATCTAAAAGAGAAGAACAGAAAACAAAACAAAACTATAATTAAAAAATAAATTGTTTTTCCTAAAAAAAAGTTTATAACGTTGCAGTTTACTGCATGTTTAAAAGCTCTCCAATGTGCATCCTTGCATATCTGAGAATTTTTAGGCGATTGAACGAAAAGTGTAAAAGAAGAAACAACCATTTTTTTGAAATATACATTACGTTTCTGTCAGTTGCTTTATCTTATTGAACCCCCTTTCAAAAGTTTGAGTAAACAGTTAGTAAACGAAAATCTAGGGGTCTCCAACGAAAATATGGGGTCTCCGATGAAAAGCTTGGAGTCTTCAATAAGAATCTGGGGGTCTCCAATGAAAATCTGGGGTCTCTGATGAAAATCTGGAGGTTTCCCATGAAAAGATTTGGGTTTCCAATGAAAAACTGGGGGTTTCAAACGAGAATCTGGGGTATCCAACGAGACGTCCATGGGGGTCCATGGGGGTTATAACATTGTATTGCCTTTTTATGGAGGAGACAACAAAATTTTCTTTATAAATCGTAACTATTTAAATCATTATTAAACTTAAATATGGCACTGCAGTGTATAGTGTAGGGAAAGATTGTGGATAGAAATATAGATAGATAGATAGATAGATAAATACTAGACACAGTCACAGATGTCACACATTGTCACACACAACACACTTCACACAACAACATCTTTATACAAACATTACACCCACAATACACACAACAAATGTCACACAATACACAAAACTATTGTCAAACAATATACATTTTAATTTTCACACAATGCACACAACAATTGTCACACAATACACACAACAATTGTCACACAATACACACACTAATGGTCAAGAAATGCATTCAACAACTAGTAAGTACAATTCTTTAGAATCGGTCTTACTCTTATTTACCTGGACAGTACAGTATATAAGACCGGTTCTAAAGAGTTGTACTGTCCAGGTATATAAGACCGGTTGTAAAGAATTGTACTGTCCAGGTATAAGACTGGTTCTAAAGAATTATACTGTCCAGGTATATAAGACCGGTTCTAAAGAATTGTACTGTCCAGGTATATAAGTAAGACTGGTTCTAAAGAATTGTACTTTCCAGGTATATAAAACTGGTTCTAAAGAATTGTACTGTCCAGGTATATAAAACCAGTTCTAAAGAATTGTACTATTCAGGTATATAAAACCAGTTCTAAATAATTGTACTGTCCAGGTATATAAAACCAGTTCTAAAGAATTGTACTGTCCATGTATAAAAGACCAGTTCTAAAGAATTGTACTATTCAGGTATATAAAACCAGTTCTAAATAATTGTACTGTCCAGGTATATAAAACCAGTTCTAAAGAATTGTACTGTCCAGGTATATAAGCTTCTTGGCTGAGATGGTTAGCTCTGACCGACCTGAAGACAGGTTTACAAGGGATCCGAACAGGAAGGTTATCCTTTACTCAAATAGAGGTTAGTATTTGATATAATCATGCATGCTTTGTAGTTCCGAGGAGTCAAGTAAGTACGACATTGTACTCTCAAGTGCATTAATACTGCCTGCATATCATAAATACATATGTTATACATATGTTATTTCCATTGTACATGATTGCTGGTACATAGCTATGGAATAGTTAAAACAATATATGTGCACTTTACATCAATTATATATCACTATTATTCTCTATTAACAGGATTGTGGGAACATAAAATTTTACATTCTACATATCGAACTATTAGTTTCAATGTATAGTATGGTTGATACATTGAACTCCTACATACCCTGTACAATTGTACATTTCTTACCATTTTGTTATGTACAGGACTATTCGGACATAACAATCCTAGCTAAATACCATGTACATTGTACATAACTCTTATTTTCTGTGTACAGTACTATCGTTACATCTCACCCGTCAACATACAATTTACACAACTATTATGTTTTATGTACAGGTTTATGTACAGGTTTGTTGGTACATATTATTTAAATAACTATTATTTTCTATGTTCACTGTAAAGGTGTGTTGGTACATAAAACAAACCATGAACATAGCTCTCAACTATAATTTTCTATGCACAGGTTTGTTGGTACATAGTCTATCCTGGATGAATACTCGGGATCATATCACGAATGGAAGAGCTCACACTAAACTATGGACTCCAGAAGATGCTCACACTGCTAAACTTAACGGATACTACCCAGCAGATGGATAGATAGATAGATAATAGATAGATAGATAATACATTAGATACAGGGTTTCCCACAAAGAATGAGATATCAGAGAAGAAATCTAATCAGTTTTCTTTCTGATATTCTTGGTTCCCTGCAACAGTTAAATGCAGGAAACTAAATCCAAACTTAAGATCAGAATATTAAAAGAGTTTTTGATCATCTTGTGGGTTACCACGCGTTGTATCATACAATTAAAAAAAAGAAATACAGTGATAACTAGAAAACCAGACGACATTATAGCAAAACTTAGGCGTTTTGATGTGTTACGTTATTGTAAGCAAATATTTTTACTAGTAACTTAGCAAAGCATAATATAAGTGAAAAGGGTCTATTTACACTGTACAATTGCTATGTCTAATGAACATTGAACTAATTTAAGTCCTAACTTGAGTTTAAAAGTCGTCTTCCTATTTCAGAGTTTTCTGGTTTTCACTGTATGAAAGAGAAACTTGCAAAAGTAAAATTTTAAATCTATCTCAATCAAAATATTCCACCCTGAGTGGCTCTAACCAATGAGAGTAGACTCCAGGAGAGAGGAAACGGGTTTCACGTATTAGAACAGCTAGGAAACTTTTTTATGAAAAAACTAGCGTTGCTCCTGGAATTTTAGAAAAAATGTAAAAGAAAAGAATTTTGAAGAAAAAAATGTAATTTCCCCCCCCTCCCCCCGGGTAATCAAGGGATCTCTAAAAAAATCAACCAATTTGGTTCAGCCGTTTGCCCAGCTGTAGCTAACATAAATATATATATATATTTATAAGAGCTCTATTATTTTATAGACAAGAATTAGCAAACAGTGTTTCCATCTTTGATCTTTGTTTAAGATTTTTTTATTTTTATCATACTCTTCTAAGTTAGATTTCTCCTTTAACTCGGAATTCACTAAATTGTCTATTTTTTATCTTGTTAATGTACAAACTCGGGATACATAGTCTTCCAAGCGCAAACTAATTTTAATAATTTTCTTTACAAATTTTTGTAACAAATTACAAAATTTACAAACATAAATTTTTTTACAAAATTTACTAAATTTACAAATTACAAAACTTACAAAATAAAAAAATCGGAAAACTGATAAAATTTAAAATCCGGAAAATTTTACAATTTTACAAATAAAATTCACCAAAAGTAAAAGAAAGTAAAAAATTGCTTCCGAAATATGTAGATCTCAGAAGAATAAAATAAAAAATTTAATCGCGGAACTAGTCCAATTAAATTATTTGATTCTAGTCTTATTTTTATGAAGATATAGTAATAAATTTATAAAATTTGCAATCTTTTGTATTATTCTGAAAAATATATTTCTAAATTTATTGTTTATATTTTTGACCTAGATTTAGTATCTTTAAAAAATGACAAGATCTCGCAAAAAAGTAAGAATTGATTAAAATTTATCAAAAAAACGTCCATTTTGTCTGAAATTAACCATAATTATTGTTGTCTCTGCTCATTCTCTGCACTTGGTCGTAAATAAAGATTTTACCTATTTTTCCCAATAAAAGTGGACCCACTCAACTGAGAACCTCAAAAGCAAACCAAAACATTCCTGTTCTTCTCCCGACTCAAACAACTCAACTTTGAATCTTTGACCAATCCCGTAGTTCTACCGAATTCCCCAATCAAAATTTGAGGAAGATCGGTCAAGAGGCTCCTGAGCTATGATTGGACACCCAAACAAACAAACAGAGATTGCAACTTTATATAGATAGATAACAGTTAGAGAGAACTTGCAGAAATTTTAAGATTTAAACAAAATTATTTCTTTGTTCTGCGGTTATTTCTCTAAAATAAAATCTTCAGAAGATTTTGCTACAGAATAATGCGTGATTTTGTATTTTTCCAAAATATTTCTTTTTCAGAAATTATTTTGAAGGTGTTCCCCCCCCCTCCCCCTCCCCGGCCCCTTCTTTAAATATTTCTTACACCACACCCTCTTGTATTTAGTTTATTAGGATGATCCTATGTAAAATGGAACAGATCCTCTCTTAAAAGAAATATAAATGTTTTAAATTCTAAATTCAAAATATAAGATTTTATTTCTAATAATCTTTATAACTATACAAAAGTCTTCACTCTGCACTGAATATTCCATTAAAAAAAACGATTAGATATCATCATCTTAAGATAAATTTATCTTCTATATATATATAGAATTTTAACTACTGAGGTTTGTCATGAGGCCTGAAACATCATGTTTAGCATAATTCT